AGCTTGGTTCAGGCATGTTTTAGTCCTTTAAGTAACCTCCTTGCTTTTCAACACGTTAAAAAGGTCTTCTGCAGCAGATTTGCCTAACGCAATACATCACTTGATCTCTTAACTGCTGCTTCCATGAGTATTGATTATGGATCCAAACAAGTTGAAATCCTTAACTTCAATCTTTTCTGTTTAACATGACGTCACCTATTGGTCCAGCTGTGAGGATTTTGGTTTTCTTTACATTGAGTTGTAATCCATATTGAAGGCTGTAATCCTTGATCTTCATCAGCAAGTGTTTCAAGGCCTCCGCACTTTCAGCAAGCAAGGGTGTATAATTTGCATACCTGCAGGTGGTTAATAAGCCTTCCTCCAATCCTGATACTACAGTCTTCTTCATATAATCTGGCTTCTCTGATTATTTGCTTATATACAAACTGAATAAGCATGGTGAGAGGATGCAAGCCTGACATACACCTTTCCTGATTTCAAACCATGCAGTATTCCCTTTCCTGTTCACACAACAGACTCTTGATCCAGGTACAGGTTCCTCATGAGCACAATAAAGTGTTCTGGAGTTCCCAATCTTCTTAAGACGTTCCATCATTTGTTATGATCCATATGGTCAAGTGCCCTTGCAGAGTCAATCAAACAAGTAAACATCTGGTACCCCTGATCTGAGCCAATATCCATTTGACATTAGCAATGATATCCCTTGTTACATATTCTTTTCTAAATCTGGCCGGAACTTCTGACAGCTCCCTGCAAATGTACTGCTACAGTTGTTGTTGAATGATCTTCAGCACAATTTTACTGACATGTTATATCAGTGATATTGTTCTATAATTCGAGCATTCTATTGGGCCACCTTTCTTTGGAATAGGTACAAATATGGATCTCTTCCACTTAGTTGGCCAAGTAGTTGCCCTTTGAAATTTTCTGTCAATTTGTCATACTGTGGATGGCCTGTGTGTTGCTGTGACACTGAAAGCTTTGTCACTGGTATTTCAAAACTAGCAGGGTCACCCAAAGGGTTTCAGCAAAGCTTCTGTGTTAGACAGGGTTCTCTAGAGAGACAAAACCAGATTGCTAATAATTTTATGTATATTTATACAGATAGATATATAACATAAGAAATAAACAATTAAATTATAAAGCAGTACAAATGGCTCAGTGCAACTCACTCCCATGAGACAGTTGTGAGACACTGGCAGTCCTTCAAGTCTGGAGGGCCCCCAGGTAGTCCTCTGTAGAGCAATT